CTTGTCCGATCTGCCGAAGACAATCGAATATGAATTCATTAACCTGGAAAGAAATTTCGATTTCGATGCAAACTTGGACTTGTCTTGATTTGACTTCGGTATATTGAAACCAAATATCTTTGAGGCCGGAAAAAGAGCCATGGATAACGTCAAGGACTAACCTCTTTGGAGAACACAATCGTTTTCAGAATTTCAAGCGTTTTAAACGTGGAAAGTAACATTTTATTATTATTATGTTTTTGCAATATTTCAAGCGCTTTTAGTGCTATACCTAAACTAAAAATACATGGCTTGCATAATACCTAACACTTTGAAATTCCTACAGCAAAACAAGCATAGATTGAATTAGAATTGCTGAAAAGTACCTAAAACTTGGAAATCTATCTGTCCCGACTGCAACGGTGTGAGAAGCCTCACTACCAATCTAACATGTTGTTTTTAATTATTTGTAATATCTTTGTTCGACCGTTTTTCTTGTTTTTCTTTTTTAAGTATAGCTTGGGTCCGCAGTAATTGGCTCAAACTGTTGCGGTGTCCCTGCCCCTAATATTATTTTGTATTTGTTGTAATGATATCTTTTGTTGTTTTTAATGTTGTTATTTATGTAATTTGGGCAAAGATAATAAAATAAAATAAAATAAAATATGAAAGTAATCCAATGTATAGCTGTCGTTTTGAATTTTTTTTATTTTTGAATGTTTTATTTACACTGTTTTAAAGCGCGTTTTTTAAATCGGCTTTGTAGCGACGGTCTCAGTTGTCGGATTTTTGTAATTTTTCAAACATAGAATGCTGATTATCTGTACATTAAGACTTTGAAATTTAAAMGAAATCGATGGATTTTTGCGCGCACAAAAAGGCAAAGAAGTTCAAGACCACTGTATCGACTTGTGTTGGCAATCGCGGCATCAGATTAAAACCTTAGATACACCACCTGAACGTTTAAGGATTCAACTATCACATATGTAAAAATCAGAACTGTACGAGGATTTTTGATGCGAAGCGAGCGATTAAAAAAA